TTAGTGAGAGAGTGACCATTGTGGGGGTGAAGAGTGACCTCCTTAGTAAGAGAGTGACCCCCTTAGTGAGAGAGTGACCATTGTGGGGGTGAAGAGTGACCACTGGCTTTGGAACAAACATCTGAAACATTTCGGTCTCCGGGCCTGCGCAGTAATGGACCTTGCCGTGCCCGGCTGCCGCGCCTGCGCGTTGAGCACGGTTCTCGGGCGAGCCGCCAGCAGCCGGCGACCGCGCGCAGGCGCACTTCCCCCTGCAGCGCCTTCGCACACCGGGGCTACTTCCTGCCTGAGTGCCTCTGCAAATCTGAGTGTGTCTCTGCAAGAACCACAGGGAGGATCAGCTGGCAGCTAGAGGGCTTTAAACAATTGCAAGAAAACGGGCAAAGTGCGCGCAATGCAATCACATCCAGATCTTGAGGGGCTTTAGGAATCACAGGTATGTAGCAGCAGGCTTCTGGTTCCCAGTTTCTCCTTTTTTTTTGCAAAACGCTTTTAGTCATTTGCAGAGTATTTTGCGACAAATGTAAAAAAGGTGGGAGAAAAGATGCAGAAACCCCCCTGTATACTTTCATGCAAGAAAATAAACACATCAAAATAACAGCACGTTTAAAGCAGAGCAATCTAAGCGTATTTTTAACTTAGATATTATGCGTATGTTCCTCCAGTTATTTTTCTTATTCTGAATTGTGCATTGACTGGAACATCCAAGAGATGGTCCATCTTATTGTGAAGATGCTGTTCTCGCCCATCAGTTTATTGAGGATCATGCTGCAGTAATGCTTTGTTGTGTTGATATGGCATCTTTCCTGAGAATGTACAGTAGCAGGCATATGGCAGACTGCGAGCAGAAAGCCTTTCTAAGATCTTGTTTTTGCGTTTCATTCGTTGGTGTGTTTACAAGTATGTGATAACAGGGAGTTGGGGAGAGAAAACCTACGTTGCATTCTCTTAAGCCAGAGGGTGGTGAATCTATCTTACAGCAACAAGGTATCATACATGATCCCATTTAAGCCAACCTGTAAACTCACTATGAATTCTCCCAAGATCAAGCAGGAACAATTCCTCTCTTTTTAAATGCTAAAATGCTTACATTATTTGGCTTGCAAATTGTAACTGTTTAGCAGCAATGCTAACAGCAATAACTCAAGCAATATCATAACGATGATCTAAAAACATATCTCTGTATACATTTTTACCAAATGTAGTAGCCATCGTTGCTGACGGAATGCCAGTTTTACCATTTCACATAACTTCACTCAGGTTAAAAAAATTAATACCATATGTAGTTCACCATGTGTCCTATTGAATTTTGACAAAGCGTCTGAAGGACTTTCCATTCATTAGCCAATAATAACTTGAATGAGTCAGGAAGGTAAAAGATGTGGTTAAAAATCTAAGTAACGTTCACTGTACGATATGTGAACGATATAGTCCATGGTAGTATACAGATTGAAAACTGATAACTGATCTGTGGGAGATAAACAAAAGATTTGAAATTTTCAACCCCATCATTTGTGTCCACTCTTTTGCTAATAACCGATTCCATTCATTCAGTGGATGTTTGATTTTAAGGAGTGACTCCTTCAGTGACATGCTGCTTCTTGTTGATGTGTGCAGACATGGGTCAGCTTCCAGATGTATGCTTACAATATCCAGCTCTGCCTGTCTGTCTGTGATGTTAAACAGTTTGTTCACTATCCAGACTTGCATAAGCCACACTTTGGTGAAATACTAAGACTGAAAGCGCCACAAATTCTGCTGCCTCACTATCAATATCACCCCTTCCCCAGTAAAAGCCTTCAGTTGAACTAACCTGTTGGCAGCTTTGCTGTCATTTTTGACTCTGAGCTGAGTTTCCGGTTACATGTCCTGTGCATCATAAAGGTTGCTTGCTTGCATGAGGTCAGCTGTCCTAGCCCTGCTTCAATCCATCTGCTGCTGAAACCCTTGTTCATTTCTTTGCCATCTTCATGTTCAACTATTTTATTGCTCTCCTGGATGGCTCCCAGTTTTCCACATTATGTAAATGTCAGCTCCGCTGCCTGCATCCTAACTCTCAGTAAATGTCTCTTGCCCCTCTGCTTGCTGACTGACATTGGCTCACTGGCCTCCAGAGCCTCAGGTTTAAACTTATCATCCTCGTGTTCAAATCACCTCACGCTCTTGCCTATTTTGTGCCCACAATCTCCTCTATCTTACCAATCCCCTGCTATGTGCGTAACTCACACCAGACCCTGTTCACCCATAACTCCAGTCCTCATGGAAGCACTGCGAACTGGGAAGAGGCCAGTCAGTCCTTTGAACCAGCTCTACCATTTGCTAAGATCATATCTGATCATATACCACAAGTTCATCTTCATGTTCTAACTCTTTATCCCTTAATTCTCTTAGTACTCAGCAGTTCATGCTTAAACAACACATTAATTTTAAAATTCTCATCCGTGTTTTCTACTCCCTCCATCACCTTACCCCTCCGTGTCTCTGTAATGTCCTTCACTTGTACAAATATCTGTGCTCCTTCAATTCGGGCTTCTTGAACAGCCCCAATTTCATTTAATAATCGTCACAGCATTTGGTGGGAATTCCAATGCTCTGGAATTCCCTCCATAAGTATCTCTCTGTCTCTCTGTCTCTGTCTCTCTGTCTGTCTGTCTCTCTCTCTCCTTCAAGGTATTCTCCACAACTAGCAGTGTACAATCATCTGAAGCCAGATGTGCTGAGTGAATGATCCATCTGGATTTGCTCCTGAAATCACATCATTACTGATTCCAGACTGGAACACAAAGTAAATTGAGTTGGTTACCCAGCAAGGGCTAAGTCCATATAGGAAACTGCAAAGGCTGTAGGACCTGACAACATTTCAGTTGTGATAACAAAGGCTTGTGTTCCAGAAATAGCTGCATTTCTAGCCAATACAGTCCAATACCAACATCTACCCAACAATGTGGAAAACAGCACAGGTCTAATTCAGCCATTTCCTATAGCCCTATTAGTCTTCCCTCAATCATCAGTAAAGTAATGGAAAGTGTCATTGACTGTGCTATAAAGCAGTACAGCTTCAACAATGACCTTACTGTCACTCAGTTCAGGTTCAGTCAGGGCCTCTCAGCTCCTGACCTCATTACAGTCTTGATTCAAACATGAACAAAGAGCTGAATTCCACAGGTGAGGTGAGAGCGACTGTCCTTGACATCAAGGTTGCATTTGACTGAGTGTGGCACCAAGGAGCCCTGGTAAAACTGGAATCAGTGGGAATCAGGGAGCAAACACTCCACTTGTTGGGGTCATACTGACGCAGAAGAAAATGGTTGTGGCTTTTGGAAGTCAGTCATCTCAGCTCCAGGACATCACAGCAGGAGTTCCTTAGGGTAGTGTTCTAGGCCCATCCATCTTCAGTTGCTTCATCAACAACTTGCTGTCCATTACGGGCCAGCGGTGAGGATGTTCGCTGATGATTGCGCAATCTTCAGCACCATTCATAATTCCTCGGATTTTGAAGTGGTCCCTGTGTCCCTACGCAGCAAAACCTGGACATCATTGAGGCTTGGGATGATGAGTTGCAAATTACATATTTGCCCTACAAATTCAATAGAGTATCATTGCTGAATCTCCTGCTATCAACATCCTGAGGGTTACCGTTGACCAGAAACTGAACTGGAAAGGCCGTATAAAAACAGAGTAGGCCAGGGGCTTGTTATTCTGTGATAAGTAACTAACATCCCGATTCCCCAAAGTCTGTCCATCAGCTACAAAGCACATATCATATCCCATGGGAGGACAACAAAAAAATCTGTTATTTGTTCAGTGTCACATTTGGTTTGATAATGCTTTGACCTAGGATGTTTACTACCTTAAAGGTGCTGTCCCAACATGGGCAAGTTCCTGAGTGAAATTGTTGATGGTATGAACTAAAACATACAAATAAGAGAATAGAAAAGCTTTAAAACTAATTGGCTTTTGTACTTGGAGTGGAATTCTATTAATCACTCTCCTCTATATTCTGTCAGCTGTGTCTGAAATCAGTAATACCAGTGTGTTATTCACCAGGTCAAATTATCCCTTCACCGTGTGACATTATTATTGTGTAGTATGGTGCTGTAGTGCAGAAGGAGGCTATTTGGCCCGTCAAGTTAAACACACTTTTTTTCTCCACATGAGCCATCTAATCTAATTTCACTCTCCTGCCTGCTTTCTGTAATTTTCATTACTTTTCAGACATCTACGTAAAGAGTCTAAAGACATTTATTTTGAATAAGTTGCTATGGGGAATTCATAAGGACATAAGAAATAGGATCAGGAGAAGTCATTCCACCTCTAGAGCTTGCTCCACCATCCGTTTTCCTTTTTGACCCCCATAAAAATCCATCTAACTCAACCCTGAGTATATTCTACGACCCAGCCTCCAGTGCCGCTGTGGTGGAGAACGCCTACAATTTAATGCTACATTGACAGAAGAAATGCCTCCTCATCTCTGTCTTAAATTTGAGATCCCTTATTTGTAAACCGTGTCCCTTAGTTCAAGATTTTCTCTCAATGGGAAATACCTTCTCACCACATGTCCTAACTTTCAATAAGGTCGCCTCTCATTCTTCTAAACTCCAGTGAGTATCAGCCAAACTTGCTCAACTGTTCCTCAGAAGACAGCCCTTATCTTTGAACCTCCTACATTGTGAATAAATTCCTGCTTATGTAAGGAAACCGAAACTCTGCACAGTAAATTCTGTGTCCCATGACCTCTGCACCAGACTTTTAAAAACACCTTTTTAATTCTGTTCCTGAACCACCTGCAGCTCAACATCCCTCTGAGATTTCTGCGCTCTTCCCAGTCTGACACCTTGTATATCCCAGATTTTAATTGCTTCACCATTGTGCCTTCAGCTGCCAAGGCCTTGCACTCTTGAATTCCTTCCATAAATGTCTCCACCATTCTTTCTTCCTCTTTTCCTCTCTCTCTCTTCTCTATCATAGCCTTCCTTTTAGACTGTCCTTTAAAATTATCTTTTTGTCCAAATTTCTAGTCACCTCCCCTTATGTGGTTTGGCGTTAAGTTTTGTGAGAACACTTTTGCTAAATGTAGTTGGGATGTTTTACCATGTTAAAGCCATTATATGAATACAGGTTGACGTGGTGAAAAATAGATGCATGCTCTTCCCTCATGGCTTTTATTCCATGTTTTGTAACTTTGTGTGCCCGTCCTCGTGATTCAGCCAAAAATCAGCTCTTCTTGAACATTTGACCAATTGGAGAGTTAGAGATCCAGGTTTGTACCACACAGTATGTTGATAATTTTCACTGTTGCAGGAAAGTCTTGGTCTATGTTTTACTGGAAGACCACCCTGTGATTGGAAATTTAAAGGTGGGAAATTTGGAAATTGTCCCAGTCTGAAAAAGGAATGTTTGAAATTTTGGCAAACTCGAACACCAAGTTTACAAATG